AGTTAACAGCATTCACTGAGCTTGCAGAGAGGGCCCTGCTTCAGTTTCCAGCAGCCCCCATGGCAGCTCACAACTGTCTGTAACTCAAGTTCCAGGGATCTGATGCCCTCTTCTGGCCACCACATGTACTGCACACAAATCATAAACGTGCAGGCAAAACCACACGAGCAAAATAAAAAAATAAATAAATCTTTATTGTTCTCTCTCTCTTGACAGGGTTTCCTCTATGTAGCCTTGGCTGTCTTTGTAGACCAGACTGGTCTTGAACTCAGAGATCTGCCTCTCTCTGTACCCCGAGTGCCACCACTACCCGGCAAAGCAGCAGTTCTTAACATGTGGGTCACGACCCCATGGCCCTTTCACAGGGGTCACCTAACACCATCAGAAAACACAGATGTTTACAAACATGACTCAAACAGTAACAAAATCACAGTCATGAAGTAGCAATGAATCCGTTTTATGTTTGGGGTCGCCACAACAGGAGGAACTATAACTATATTAGAGAGTCGCAGTGTAGGGAAGGTTGAGAGCCTCTATGCTACAGATGTATGAGGTGTCTGCCCCCTTCTGTGGCACTCAGTACTGCTTTGGATCGCTATCTCCGATACGGTAACGGACAAAGAGGAACGCTTACCCAGTCCCTCCATGTACCGTCTGGATTTTTCTTCACGATGGGCTCCAGGCGCTTCAGAAGGATCTGGCAGGCATTCTTGAAGGAATGAAGAAGAGAGCCCTGTGGTTAGGACTTGTGGTGAAGGCTCTTCAGCGACCACAGGTCGGCGAGCGTGCACTGCACAGGGCACCTGCTCCTTGTCCTTCTGTGCACAGAAGATGCACAGCCCAGCCCCTGAGGTTAGCATCAGCTACAGGACCTACTCTCCCATCTTGCTTCACTTCCTATGAAAATACCCCAAATTTCTACTCTCAGATCCTCTTCCATAAATAGCCAGGGTTAACTTCCCTTTTCTTCTTTGTTTTATTACATCTTTGATCTTTATTTTGTATTTCTTGGTTATTAAAATAAATGGAATAAACATCATATTTTCATTCAAATTTGTGCTTGTTACAGTGACAGGTCCTTGTCCCTCTGGGTCTGAAACATCCAACTCTCCACCCATCCTTCTAACTATTCCCCTGTCTGTTATGAAATCACTATTTAAAGGCCCTGGCTTTGGGTTTGAAGTGAAAACATTCAGAAAACTGATTTTAAGACACACACGCAGGCAAAACACCCATATTCGCAAAATAAAACGTAAATCTTAAAAATGCAGAACTAAAAAGCTGGGTGGTGGTGGCGCACGCCTTTAATCCCAGCACTCGGGAGGCAGAGGAAGGCAGATCTCTGTGAGTTCGAGGCCAGCCTGGTCTACAGAACAAGTTCCAGGACAGGCTCCAAAGCTACAGAGAAACCCTGTCTCGTAAAACCAAAAACCAAAACAACAAGCAAACAAACAAAAACCCTAACCCCCCCAAAACAAAGAAACACTGTGTCTGTATGCAGATAAGCAAACCGGAGATGTGGTAAAGTTCACCAGGGAAGGAGCCGGCCACAGTCACCTGCACAGCTCTGCCGTTGACGTCCGCGCCGACCGACGCCGCCGTAGCGATTGTGTTGGGCACGGTGGCGGTACTGGTCTCACAGATGTGCATGTAAGACATGGGGACTTTTAGTTCATGGCTGGCCACCTGGGAGAAGGGACACGTTTCAAATCCAGTCATTCCTAGGAAGACTTAAGCCATCTTGGTCACATTGAAAACATCTCTACTAAAGACAATTTTTGTGATATTTTCAGTTTGCTTGTATGACTGTGTGTATGAGTGGACGAGTGCGCTGTGACATCCTTGTGGACATCGGAGGACAGAGCTCAGGGCTCAGTTCTCTCCTCCCAACACATGGGGCCTGGGTTAGAGTTAGACTTGGTGACAAGCACCTTGACCTGTTGAGCTTTTGGGATCCTTTCCTTCTTCCTTCCTTCCTTCCTTCCTTTTTTCCTTTCTTCTTTCCTTCCTTTTTTCTTCCCTTCTTCCTTTCTTCCTCCTTCCTCTTCTTTGAAGCAGGTAGCCCTGGCTGTCCCAGAACTCATTTTGTACTAGGCTGGCCTTGAACTCACAAACATTTATTCACTTCTCCCTCCCAAGTGCCTGTGCCATTACCCATGGCTATGTTGTCACTCCACCCCCCACGCTGCACATGCTCCAAAAGGACCTACTCAATTCAGGCAAGCCCAGCCCTATCCCGCTCCTTGCTCACACAGGGCGATGTGCAAGATCCGGGCCCAATGAATTCTGGGCCCCATCTGCTGCACGAAAGAAAGTCTAAGATTCTTGCAAGGCCAGTCGCTTCTAAAGCAGACAGGCAGCTGCTCTGAGAAAGGAACCTTTCCACAGGGATTGTTTAGGAAGTGGGTTGGAGGTCGGGGGGTCACTAGCAGCAATTCTGTGCCATGGGCTAAGCAGGCTGATTGTTGTAAAGAGGACCTAAGGGGCCAGGTGGTGAAAAGCTACAGCCTTGCACTGTAACAATCTGAAGAGTCCGTACTAACGTTCAATGTATCCAATTCAAAGGACTATGTTTTTCTTCTGAGATCCCAGGTGTTTAAAATCATAAGCCAGTGCTGGTTGGATGGCTCAGCGGATACACGTACTTGCCACCCAGCCTGATAACCTGAATTTGATACCCAGCACCCCCATGGTGGAAGGAGAGAGTTGACTTCCCCAGATTGTCTGCCCTCCACACAGGCCATGTTCTGTCTGAGTGTGTGTGTGAATACCGAAGGACTCACAAGCACATACATCTTTTTATTTGTTTCTCTGTGTAGCTCTGGCTGTCCCAGAATTCCCTCTGTAGACCAGGCTGGCCTCAAACTCACAGTGATCCACCTGCCTCTGTGTCCAGAGTGCTGGGATTAAAGATGTGTGCAAGCAAGTACTCTGGACATGGATCATTTTTTTTTAATGAAAAAGAAGCAGGGATTATAGCTTAGTGTTAAATCTCTTGCTCAGTTTGTACATGACCCTAGACTCAAGCCCCAATACTACTGGAGAGAGAGAGAGAGAGAGAGAGAGAGAGAGAGAGAGAGAGAGAGAAGGAAGAGGAGGAGGAGGAGGAGAGGGAGAGGGAGAGGGAGAAGGAGAGGAAGAGGAAGAGGAAGAGGAAGAGGAAGAAGAAGAAGAAGAAGAAGAAGAAGAAGAAGAAGAAGAAGAAGA